CGCCCGCTCGGAGGCCGGGGGCGGGGCTCCCGTTGAGGCGACGCGTTCTGAGGGAAAGCCCGCTGCGGGAAGGCAGTCGGCCTGGGGCTGTGTGGGGCGGGCAGAGGGCGCAGTCTGCGCGGGCCTCAGCGGGGTGCGGGCCTCAGGACCTGCGCTCTCCCCTCAGGGATAGCGCTGCCATCTCCGGGCCGCCGCCCCCAGGGCCGTACCAGCTCAGTACCCCCTCAGGCCTCCTCAGGGCTGTCCGCTCCCCTCAGAGCCGCCCCCAGGAGCCATGCAGCGCGGGCGGGGGTGGCCCTGGATGCCACTCACACCTCCCCACCTCCCTCAGCCCCAGGTCTGCCCGGCCAGCGCCGCCCCCTCTGACGACAACCGAGGACCCACGCGCGCTCCCGGCCAGGTGCGTGCTCGTGGGGCTCCGCCTTCGCAGCCACCGTGGACCCCTGAGGAACCTCGGAGAGACCCCCGGAGGGACCCCGCAGAGAGACCACGGAGGGACCCCAGGCGAGATCCAGGCCTCGGGACCCGCCACAGCGCAGGGTGCCCGTGTGGTCAGGTCAGGTCAGGTCTGGCTCCCCGGCGCGGGCGCCCCCCCCCCCCCGTGGGGTCGGAGAGCTGAGACAGGGGCGCCCGGAAAGTCAGGAGCAGGCCAGCCTCGAGCCCGACCCCGGCTCGGCAGAGGGGGGGCCGGACCCGCCGTGGACGGACGCGTTGCCACGCGCCGGTCTCCCTGGAGCACGCGCCTGTCAGCTTGGAGGGGCTAGCCCCGAGCCGGCGGTGGCCGCGGGAGCAGAGCCTGACGCTGCCCCCGCCGCACCCCGTCGCGGCCCGGTGTCCACACGTTGGTGAACGGGGCGCAGGCCCCAGCGGACACCCCCGTGTACCGGTGCCCGTCGGGGGCTGGCCCGGGAGCAGCGCGCAGGTGGCTGAGCGCTCACCTTTCCGCCCGGTGGAGCTGTGCCGAGGGAGGGCGCGTGTGGCTGGAGGAGGAGCAGCCCTGCTCGTGTGCCTTGGCCGGCACACGGGGCTTCGTGGCCTCACGCATGGGCCTGTGGCCGCCTGAGGGAAACGTGCCCGTTGTCGCATAGCGCTGGACGCAGGCCCATGTGGACAGTCTCCTCTGTTCTTATTTTCATCACTCAGGGCGTGGAGTTGCTTTCTTACACTCACTGGCCACTTGCAGTCAAATGTCTGTTCAGGTCCTTTCGCCCATTTAAAAACCGACGTCTTTGCTCGAATTCTTGTCTCTCCGAGGTGCAAGATGAGGGCTGTGTGGCCTACGAAGTTCTCTCCCATTCAGTGGTGGCGGTCGCTGGTTACTGACTTGGAGAAAGTGGGCATGGTGTTGAGATGACCCGGCTGCTCCACCCGGCCACTCTGGTCCATGGATGCCCGTCTGCGGGCTGTAGAGATGTGGGCACGAGCAGGAGGGGCAGGGTGCCCACCAGGAGCAGGTGCTCTGGCACCGGGCCAGGCCGGTGGGGTGGTCTGTACCTGCAGACAGGTGTGCGGGTGGCTGCCCGGGCCAGGCGATCACACGTATATGCTGTCGCTCAGGGGGTGAGCACCCTTATCAAGCTGCTTGCTTCTCTTTGTGAGGTGGGATCGGTGTTGTGCCAAGAACGAGCCAGTCTGTGGTCACAGCGACAGGTGCTAAGCGCTGCTCCCTGGTGTCCCCAGGCCGCGCACCAGCCACCGGGAGGGCCTGGGAGGTAGAGCCGGGACCTAAGTCAGGTAGGGGGTGAGCCAGGATGGTCCTGCCTGTCTGCGCCCAGAATCTTTGCTCTTCACAATTCCGTCGTGCAGCTTAAGACGCCAGGCCATTCTTTTGTCTACTCGAGGTCACTGCTGCTACTCTGGGGACGATGCTTATGGTGCCATTGGCGCCGCATACTGGGGTGGAGTTATAGAAGACGGTGATTCCCCCTGAAAGAGGGGAACTCTTGTTTGTGGACTTGTTGGATTTGTTCATTTCAGCGTGTCCCTGACATTATCCGAGCTTGATGAGATCCAGTATCATTTCAGATTTATTCAGAAACCGGATACCTTGCTATGTGGCAGGAGTGCCCACCACGGTCAGGACCGTGAGCCCAAGGATCCCCCACTTGTGGCAAGCCTGACAACTTTCAGGTTGGGGCGGCAGAACTGTGCCTGCCACCCCTGACAGTCGCGGGCAGTTCCAGAAGCTGTGGCTAGAATACCTTATGTACTAACAGGGCCTTGCAACTACGGTGACATTAAAGAAGTGACTTGGAAGGGACAGGCTAGAGATGGAGAGCGAAGAGGCAGCAGGCGACAGAAGCACAGGTCAGATGAGCAGGTTGTTTAGGGCTGGGTGGGGGAGCCGTGGAATGAAGCTAGAAAATGCCTGCAAGGGTAATGCCGTGCTGCACCCCCTTGAATTGAGCTGGCAAGACCCCTTTGGCTCTCGTGTCCGGGACCCTAAGATTAAAAGAGGGTCGTGCTGTCTTACACCACAGACTGTGGCAGCTGGTCACAAGAAGCCAAATGTTACCAAATTAGGTTGTGCAGGCAGAGGAAGCTCCGAGGAACTTCATTACTCTCTAGTCCTTCACGGAGCAGCACCTGCTCTCTGCTGCATTCTTTAAACACAGACATACAGTGGAACCACCAGTGTATACTCAGCTGCCTGGCAAGGCTGGGACTTGGAGGAGGAACAAAGTGAACCTTAGTAGGTACATGATTATTCCACTACAGAGTGACTTTTTTTTTACAATCAGGAAAAATAAATTTCTCACCGAAACAAAACCAGAGCATAAAAAAAGTCGAGACCATTTATGTACCGTTAGATCCTGGAAATACATGTGGAAAAAATATTAACACAGGGTATGTGTGTTTGCCTCATTGGGTGTTCTTTCTTTTTGTTTAAAGATTTATGTATGTACACAAGAACTGGGGCACAGGCCAGAGGTGCGGGGGGTAAGAGGACTCCCAGAGACAGAGTGGGGAGCAGAACAGGCAGATCCCCTGAAATTCACAGCTGAGGGGGCAGCAGGGAGACAAGAGGGGTCTGCTGTGCTCTGTGGGTCCCTCCCTGGCCGGGGATCGAGCTCGTGATGAAGCGGCTGGGGCCAGCTCCATAGTGTTGCGCTTTCCCCATTGTGTTGCCAGGGAGTGTCACCAGGGAGGGCCCTTAAAAAAAGTCTTTATCAGTAGTTTAATTCTACCTTTAGATTTATTACTAGAATCATGATTGGAAACTTTTATTGTCAAAAATAATAATTTGGTTATTATTAGAAACGAATTTGTAGGATATATATTTAAATAGTCTAGAATATATGGAATATAAAATTAAAGGTAACTAGCTTCAAATAGTCTGGTAGAAAAATCGATGGACAGACGGCTTAGAGATTTTTACTGACTGGGTACTAACTTAAATAATAAGCTACCAGAAGACCTGTAGACATCAGAAATGTGAAAGATGAATGAAGAAGTCATCTTTAATGTGCTCTGGAAAATAAACATCTTCAAGAACAAAGCTTCCGTGTGTGGGGTGGTTCCAACGAGGTGCCATCATCACAACCTACCCAGGTTTAAGTAGGAATGCCACTGTCTGCCTCCTGTGCAGGTGGCGCAGCCAGGAGACGTCTTGGTGCCACCTCTGACGCCGGAAACGAACGTCCAACCAATATCTAGACATTGACCCAGTCTCGCAGCTACACTAAGGAATTAATTCCCCTATATTATAAAAGCTGTTAGAATTTGGTTCACGAAATATAATCATAAAATTGAAATGTTAACTGAACTTTTGGAAATCTTTCGGGGTATTCGTATACCAGGGGCTTGGTCACTGATGTTGGCATGCAGTTGCCTGGCCAGATGGTATCGGCGCACCTTTGCTGCTAGAGCAGTGTGTACAGGAGAGCTGGAGGTGTGCCTCGGTGGGAGGTACCCCTTCTTGGCCCACTTGTCAGTGGGTGGCCTTAGGTGGTTTCCCTGGGCCTGGCTGTTGGAAATAGTGTTGCAAAGCATGCCAGGGTGCACCTACTTCTTCGAATTGGTGGTTTTGTATTTTGGGGGGAACACCCAGACATCAGACAGCTGGGTCATATGGCATTTCTGTGATTTATTTTTGAGGATCCTCATTTTGCTTCCAGTGTGGCTGCTCCTGTTACACCCACACAGCATTGTGTACAGATTTCCTGCTTCCCCACACCCCCGGCAGCCCAGCCGGCAGCGCTTGCTGCCTGCTTTTGGAGAAGGGTCATTCCAGGGGGCGGGGCTTGTCATTGTGGCTTTGATTTGCTTTTCCCTGATGAGGAGAGATGATGAGCCCCTTTTTCATGTGCCTGTGGGCCTCTGTGTACCCAACTGAAAAGCATCTGTCAGGTCCTCTGCCCATATTTTAGTTGGGTTGGTTGTGTGTTTTTTTTTTTTTTTTTATTGTTGAAGTTAATGAATCTTTGTATGTTTTGGATGTTTCTGCTTGTTGGACATAGGATGTGCCGCTCTCTCCCCTCACTCAGTGGGGAGGTCTTTTTGCTTTGATGGGAGTTTCTTTCAATGCGTAAAAGCTTTTTAGGTGGATGGTCTCATTTGTTGACTTTTGCTTTTCCCTCATTAGAGTCGAGTTCCCAGGACAGCCCTAAGGCTGATGTCAAGGAACAGTTGCCCCTGTTGTCGTTATTTCTTTGTATTTTTTGACAGTTCATTTCTATTTGGCTGAGAACCAGCATCTGACCATTGGAATGTACGAAGGAAAGGCAGGGTCAGGAGCGTCAGTGTCTGGAGTGCCCCGTGCGCCTCCCAGAGGCGTGCGCAGTGCTGGTGGGCACCGGATTCCTGCAGGCTTGCCTGCTTTCTCGCACCCTGCCTTATGGCGCTTTGTAGGTGCTGTGTTTTCTGTAGGACTCACCTCCAGCAGAAAAACTATGGCTCACGGAAGGCACAAATGATGGTGAGCCTTTTTTAGCAACAAAACTTTTTAAAATAAAGACGCAGACGTTATTTCTCTAGACATAATGCTATCTCTCGCATGTTTAATATTCTAGAGGATAGTGTCAACATACTTCTTATATGTAGTGGCAAACCAAGACATTTGAAAACCTAACTTTATAGCAATATCTGCTTATTCTTTATGTATTTATTTATTATAATCTTTGCCTTGCTGTGGTGGTCTAGAGCCAATATCTCTGTGGCATGCCTATGTCTGCCTGTTAACCTGGCACGACACCCTCTCTGCTGGGTTCACTTGAGCTGAGCTCTGAATGTCAAGGATCCAGCTCTCTGAATCTGAGGAGAAAGTACCTGGGCAGCAAGAATAGCAAATGCGAAGGCTCTGTGGTAGGAATGAACTTGTGATCCAGGAACAGAAAGAAGGCCAGTGTGAGTGCTTTGTGGGAAAGAAAGACAGCGGTGAGCAGAGGCCTGAGAGGTAGTGTCTCCTGCCTCTCCTAGATAGGGCAGGGAGGGCCTCGGTAGATGGGGTGTGTGGGCTTTTGATTTTCACTAACAATACACTCACTGACCACTTAGTAGGTGGTGTGCTAAAGCACTTTCTATCGGCTTAATGTCAAGTACAAATTAGCCTATGTGATGTTATGCCACTTGAAGCGCATGAGGAAATCCGGAGAGTAAGCTTCTGTGAGCGCCAGCTGAGACTCAGGCCAAAGAATGTCTAGACTTCAAAAACACAACCCCAGTATATGCATTTCATAGCATAAATAAATTTCCGCAACATATAAATAACCTCCAGGTTTGTAAGCATTAATTCTGTTTTGGTCATTTCAAAGTTGTGGTAAATATACTACCACTTAACCATTTTCCAAGGACACACTAGAGGCATTCCTTATACCCAGAGCTTTTCACTCCAAATAGAAGCTCTGTGCCCTTTGCACAGCGACTCCAGCTCTTCTTCCCCAGCCTCTGGTGGCCTGCACTTTCCCTCTCAGAGTTTGGCTGATCTAGATCATCTCAGAAATGGCTTCCTCCGGACTCTGTAATTACTCCAGACCTATCAGTCTCCTCTCTTCCTGCCCCTTCCATTTCCCCAGATCAGTCTCCTTTTCGTCTTTCTCCACTTTCTCCCCAACCTGGGCGCTGGCCAAGTCTCTGTGTCACCTCTATTCCGACCACATTCATTTCTCTTTGGACTGGGCCCGCGGCCTCCTCTCATCCCACTCATGCATCGTTCCCAGTGTCTTCATGGGCATGGACCTGCCCACGTCTCAAGAGTGTCACGAGGCCCTCCGCCCCCTTGAGATTGTGGTTGTCTGTGTGAGCCAGTGTGCCTTTCCTCATGCTCCAGAGTCTTCGAGAGGAGCTGCACAGTTTGCGAAGCAGTGAGAGAGTAAGTAAGCCCACGTCCTCCTGGACAGTTCAGATGTACATGGTAGGAAGCCTGTCGGAGTGCCCCAGTGCGCTGGCCATCTGACAGTTCTTGGAACACACTTCCCCTTGTGGGGCTTCATACTCACTGTCCCCCGCCTGGACTGCCCTTCCACCAGCTGTCACAGCCAGTTTCTTCTTGACATTCGGATCAGTGACACAGCTTAAATGCCACCGCCTTGGAGAGTATCGCTGACCTCTCAGAAGCGCCATGGTCTCTGGCACAGCTTGTTACAGGCTGCTTTCAGACCCTTCCTCCTGAGCTGTCCTGTCCTCCTTCCTTTGCCCACCACACCTGGGCTCTGGCAAAGCCGGTCTTGGCTGTTATTCGTCCTGGTACCTGCAGGTGCCAGGCGCTCAGCAGGTATTTGCTGCCCAAGTGGACGAGCTAGGATGGAACAGGAGGGACACAGGAAATGTCAAGCCTGTCCCTGGCATTTCTGGCTTGGGAGCTTGAGCTGACGGCAGGTGGGGCTAACTGGTGCTAGCTCCAGGAAGGCAGGTGGGAGGGAGCCTGCAGGGAGCGTGATTTCTCTTCTGTAGCTTTTTGAGTTGCTGCCAAAGTATTTAAGTAGAGTGTCCAGAGATGGTTAGAGACCCACGCCTGGGGCTCAGGTGCAACACCCAGGTTCTATCCCAGGGCAGCGTGACTGACATGGGGTACCCTAAATAGTAGTAATAGCCAACCCTTGTCAAATGCTCAGGTCTGTGCCTACATTGACCATGTGTAACACCGAAGACGTCAACAACCGTTGGATGCAAAGATACAACTAGGCTTCTGAGCGCTGGGTAACCTGGATGCACCCCCACTACTAACAAATGGGCGGAGCCAGGATTGGCCCCAGGGCCTTGTTCCAGCATGTCAGCTTGTCCATGGTCCGGAACAGCAGGGCAGGGCCACAGCCCACAGGAGCCCTGCCATTGAGGAGCTTGTTCACATGGGGAGCACGAGACAGACATTCATAACTTCCTATGGCCCCCAAGGCCTCCCTGCATCGGGCTTGTCTGCGCCTGCCAGTAGGGATGGTGGCTCCTTGGCTAAGGCGGCCAGGCAGTGTTGGCCCTCTTCCTCTGATTCCTGGGGACTCAACTCATGCGACCTTTAGCTTTCATTCACTATGGGGAACTGTGGATGCTAGAATTGCAAAATCTCCACAAATCACCACTTATTGTGGACACTTATAACTGTCGGGGACTGGAAAAGAGGAACAGAAGGACCAGGTGACCTGGAAAGAAGAGAGTGGTCTGAATCTGCTCCAGGGAGAGCAGGAGTCGAGGTGAGGCCTGTCAGGTTCCTGAAAAGCTGACTGCATGAGACGGGCTGAGCAACACACAGGCAGCAGAAGCTGAACCTACCTGATCGTGGGCCACTGCACTCAAGAGGCCCGTTGGAATAAATAGGAAGCTGGGCCCTGGGCCTCTGTGGCAGGGCTCGGAGCAGACGGTGAGTGCACAGACGCTGAGCCTAGCCCCTCAGGTCTGACTGGAACTGGGGGCTAGTGAGGACTGAGTTATTGGCCAGATGCCCGTGTCCTCCCATCTCCATGAGCACAGCGGCCTTCACCCTCATCAATCTCCAGGGAGTGCCTTCAGGGGCCTCCTGTCTTCATACACTCAACTTTTGGTAGCCGCCTGGGTCTCCTTCCACTCGGTTTGACGCGAACTACCTGGAGTTAGCACAGACTCCTCAGGGTAGGGGCTCAGCTCTGTGGGTTGTTGCCCTCCAGGTGCCAGTCACACATCCCAGGATATCACCTGTGCCTAGCTGATTGCACCTTGCAGGCTCCCATCGACTCTGCCTCTGGTTCAATGATTTGCTACAATGGCTGATAGAACCCAGAGAAACACTCACATTCACCAGTGTATAATAAAGGACATGATACAAGTTATAGATGATAGAGAAAATCAAAAGGGACCAAGGTCAAGGTCCAGAAGGGTGCTGAGCCCAGAAATTTTTGTCCTTACATGGAATTGGGGTGTACCCTCCTCCTAGCACCTCACTGTGTTCCTTAATCTGGAGGCTGTCTACACCCCATCATTTAGGGGTACTCATTCATTTGTTCATGCATGTATTCATTTCTAGTTTAGGGATTTCTGTAGCCATGATCCATAATTAACTCTTTCCCACCCCACCTGACCCTGGATACCCAGGGTGGGGCAGGAACCCCCAAGCTTCTAACCATGGTTTGGTCTTTGTGGTCTTTCAGCATCACCCTGAAGCCATGCAGCAGCCCACCAGATATCCCCTCATTAGAACACAAGACACACCCATAGCCCAGAATTCCTAAGGGGGTTAGGTGCTATGTCAGGACCTGGGGGCGGAGACCAAGTAGCTGTCTTCTTCTGTCACAGCACCTCGGTTCATCCAGCGCCAGTGGGTGAGCTGTGAATTGATGGTCTTCTGAGAAAAGGAACGCTTCGATAGACATGAATTATGACATTATTACTTTTTAATAAGCAAAACAGTCTAGTGAACAAGCTAGAGCTAGGAAGGGCTTATAAAATGGAGATGTGCGAGCCCAGAGCACAGCTACATGAATAGCCACTGTTACAACAGCAAAGCAGATCGCTGACTTAGAGAAGCAGCAGAAGCACTCCAAGTGCCAGGGCAGAACAAACCTTTCCCATAAAATGGGGTCTCCTTGCGACGCCTTTGGCAATGACATTTCAAGCAGTAGGCTAAAAATAAGAATACAACCAGGAAGCGCTGGTGTAGGGTGTCAGACATCACCCTCCCACCCGGCCTCCTCCGGGAAGGTGGAGGAGAGCAGTAGGTGGAGCCAGTGTTATTGTTGTTCTAGATCCTGATTCCATCTGGGGTCTCCCCAAGGTGATAGAAACAAGCTGGGAATAAGGCACCAAATTAAAAAAAGAAACGGAGATAGAAAGGCTAAGAAGACATCAGAGGTGGAAATCTGTACTAATTACAGGGAATTCTTGGAGTAAAAATGTGAGTTCTCAAGAAGTCGTGTATAATTCACTTTTCAAAAATATCTCTGAAAGGTAGTAAAAATAAAAGTCCAATCTGGCCTCATTAATTTGATTCCTGAGTTTAAAGCCAAACAGAGTTCTAGGTCAAGGAGAAGATCTTGTTGTTTTTTAACATTGTTAATACAGTGGGAGGTGGAGGGTTTCATTAAGTGTCAAGATGGTAAAAATTAGGGCATCTCCAAAAAGATCACAGGCCTGCCATCATCGCAGTGTCGGAGAGTGGTCTCCAGCTTAAAATAGCTGCTGCTGGAACGGGCTAGTCTAGTGTCAGAACCGTGACCGGGAAACCTGCGTGAGGAGCCATGGCCAGCCATGGCCAGTTCCATATTCTTGCTGGTGATGGATAGAAGTGGTAACAGCTTGCGTACCTGTTCCAGGGAGCCTGTGGGCTGTGTGCCAGGTGCAGGCTGTCAAGGCCCTAGAAACGGCCTTTTCTGGGCATCAGCAGCCATTACTTCCCAGCACAGACGCAGAGCGGAACGTGTAGGGTGGCCCACCGGTTGGATTTGAGGGCTCCAGGGCTGGGCTGCTGGAGTTACCAGGTTTGGTCCTGGAAATACTGAGTAAAAACTTGAGCACCTGAGGGACTCCGGGGATGGCAGCGTCCCTAGAACCACAGAAATGGGGAAGGTGTGGGCTGAGTCGGTGGCCAGAGGTCAAGGCTGTTCTCTGCCAGTTCTCTATGACTGGGTGACAGCCCAAAACTTAGTGGCTTACAACAATGACTTCATTCTGTGGGTTCAGTGGGCAGCTCCCACTTGGGGTGTCTCGGCAGTCCCCTGAAGGCCTCTTCTCGCCCTCGTCTGATGTCGGCAAGGGTGGCTTTTGAAAGCTGGGGTGGGTCAGGCGTCAGCGCCCCAGTGGGGTCTTGCCATGACACTGGCTTCCTTCCCAGCAAGGGGCCCACGAGCAGGAAGTGGAAGCGGCCAGATCCTGAGGCCAAGACCCAACACCACGTCCAGTCTGGAGAGAGAGATCAGAGCCGCCCAGATGCAGCAGGAGGAGACGAGCCTCAAGTCCTGAGTGAGGGACGAGCGGCAGAGAATCTGCGGCTACTTTCAACCCTCTGTGTTGTCCAGCCAGCGCCCAGAGGGTCTGTTCACAGTGGGTCTTAGCCTGGTCTGACCGTATAGTGGGGGGCTTTGCACCATGCAGCTCTCTGTGCGTTGACAAGAAAGTTCATAATGAGGGCAGGTCGCCACCCAGCCTCCCAGCACTGGGACACGAATCTGGCGCAACTGAAATAATTCTCAGCTGAGACATAAATGTGAGCCTCTTGCTCTCCATCCACATGAGGCTTCTAATTTGGTGTTTCACTCAGGCCCTCTGCCCTCCAACACATCCAGAGCTCCGGGAGGGGAGAGCACTTTTCCCTTTGGCAGAAAATTTGGCCGCAGATCTTTGCAGGTGAAGCTCAAGGCACAAGCAGAGGTGGTGCTGCGACGACGCCCAGCCCCGTCAGTAGGGGCTCTGGAAGCCGCTGTACTCGCTGTTGCTCTTGGGGAACTCCCTCCGGATCCTCCAGCGGCAGCAGCTGGGCAGGATGGCAAAGTTGGCCAGGTCCCAGGAGCCAAAGCGCCAGATGGCGTAGCTCCTGTAGGCGCAGTGCCGCAGCTGCCTGTTGGTGTCGCCAGCGTCCAGCGCCAGCAGGGGCTCCTGGTAGAGCAGGAGGAAGCGCAGGGTGTCTCTGTCCAGGACTAGCTTCCGGAACAGCTCTGAGGTGGTGATGCAGGGTCCCGGCCCTTTGCGGCAGCACAGCTCCTCCAGGCACCTCCGGTCCTTGCCAAGCCGGGAGGGGAGGCAGTTCCCGCACTGGCACCAGTCAGGGCTGCCCGTGGAGGTGGCGGTCACCTCACTGAGCAGCTCTATCTCCTCTGGCTGTCCGGGCGGGGGGCTCAGGGTGTGGACCGAATGAGCCAGGCTGGACAAGTATTTGAATTCCGTCAGGGGTCTCTGAAAAAGTCAAGTTTCCAAACCTGTCAATAATGACCAACCCTAAGTTCCAGGTGCCTTCACTTTAATTTATTTAATTACATTTAATAACAGAGGCTATTCTCTATCAAATGTGTGTATCAGGACTGTGCTGCTACTGTTTTACAAGCACTACCTTATGTTAACCTTGGAAGAACCTCAGGAGATGTGGGTCCTCCTCTCCATTTTCTTTATTTCTTTTTTTTTTTTTAAAGATTTATTTATTCATATAGAACTGGGGTACAGGCCAGAGATGCGGAGGGTGAGAGGATTCACCAGAGACAGAGTGGAGAGCAGAACAGGCAGATCGACGAAGTACACTGCTGAGGGGAGCAGCGGGCGGGTCAGGAGTGGTCTGCCGCGCCATGTGGTCACCTCCGGGGCAGGCGGGAATCAAACTCATTCGGAAGTGGCTTAAGCTTCTTAGTGCTGTGCTTTAACCCACTGCGCCACCAGGGAAGGCCCTCTTCTCTCTATTTTCTAAGCTGGGAAAGTGAAATTCAGAGGAGCCAGGCTCGATGCAGCTGTCATGTCTGGCCCTGACCTCCTGGTCTGGAAGGTTTTGTCCTCCCGGGTCATTCTTCATGTTCTTCGCAGTACTGATCCCCATCTGAAGTGAGGTTCATAATTAGTGTGCCTATCCGAGGAGGCTTCCGTGTGGAAACCGGGCCCTGTTGGCTCCCTTTACGAGCGTATTCCCAACGCTGAGGGCCAGGCACAGTGCAGAGTAGACAGTAAATGTTTGTTCACCCAGCTCCACACTCCCCAGCAGACTCCCTCTTCTGGCACAGCCCTTTGCCATCCTCCCAGAGAACTGCTGTGATTGTCATCATTTTTGTCTGTCCATGACATATATCTTCAGTCACCAAAGAAAGCCTGAATCAAGTACGCTAAATGTCAGTGATTCTTAGGCATGCATATTCACAGTAATACTGCTCATAATGGCCAAAAAGTGAAAACAACCCAGTGTCCATCAATGGGTAAAGTAACTAAAACATGTTCTGACCATAGAGTGGAATATTACTCAGTCACAAGAAGACTGAAGTACTGATATCTGCCAAGGACAGGTGATCCTTGCAGATGGTATTCTCAGAGAAAAAAGTCAGACGCGAAGGGTCACATATTACCAGTTCCAATTATATGAAGTGCCCAAACTAGGTGAGTCCTTGGAGGCAGAGTAGGGGCTGCCAGGGGCTGGAACTAGATGGTGCTGATGGTTGCACTCAGTGCAGATATATTGAATGCCACTAAATTGTATGCTTTAAAATGGTTAAAATGGTAAATATTATGTCATGTGTTTTTTACTACACACACACACACACACACACAAGTTCACATTATACAAACCTGAGAAGAATATAACAAGAATGGAAAAATTTGGGTTAGTATAACTCAAGAAAAGATTTAAAAATCCAGGACCCTCCCTGGTGGCGCAGTGGGTTAAAGCACAGCACTAAGAAACTAAAGCCACTTCAGCATGAGTTCAATCCCCACCCCGGAGGTGACCCACATGGCACAGCAGACTACTCCCGACCTGCCCACTGCTCCCCTCAGCAGTGGGCTTTGTCAGTCAGCCTGTTCTGCTCCCCGCTTTGTCTCTGGTGAATCCTCTCACTGGCCCTGCACCCCTGGCCTGTATCCCAGCTCTGTATGCACAAATAAATAATTCTTTAAAAAAATTCTTATCAGGCCCTCCATGGTGGCACAGTGGGTTAAAGCACTGCACAAAGAAGCTTAAGCCACTTCTGCATGAGTTCGATTCCCGCCTGCCCCCGGAGGAGACCACGTGGCGTGGCAGACCTCTCCTGACTCGCCCGCTGCTCCCCTCAGCAGTGTACTTCGTCGATCTGCCTGTTCTGCACCCCACTTTGTCTCTGGTGAATCCTCTCACCCTCCGCATCTCTGGCCTGTATCCCAGTTCTGTATGAATAAATAAATAAATCTTAAAAAAAATTTAAAAAAATTCTTATCAAACTAGCACAGCAAAGAATGTTGTTAATCTGAAAGTACATTCTGGAAAAACCTACAATAGGTACCCTAATGGAGAGTGAGATAGGGAATGAGAGAAAAATGCCTATTTTTACTTCTTCTATTCAGTATTGCACTAGAGGTCCTGGCAGGTATGAGAAACCCCTGGGACTGGAAGAGATAGGCAGGACCCAAGGCCTTTCAGAGGCAGACAGACTTGCCAACACCTTGTTTTCATACCTGGCCTTCAGTACTTTCTGTTGTTTCAAGCCACCTACTTCATGGTAATTTATTATGGCATCTGGGGGAAACCATACAGTGAAGATGTCCAGCCATCAAAACAACCAGGGGGAGTATGAGTAAGAGCCCTCTGTGAGAACTGGGTGGCAGTATCTACTGAAGCTGAACGCAAGCCTTGTGACTGAAGGGTCCACTCGTGGCTGCCATGTTGGCTATGGCCACGCCTTTGGTATGAGCCCCAAGCCAGAGACTCCCCAAATGTCCACCCACAATAGCCTGAAGAACTTGGATGCTTGTGATAGGGAAATCATAATTGTTACACAGGTATGAACTATTGCTGTCTGGGTCAGCTTGAATGACACTCACAAAATAGTGGCGAGTGAAAGAAGCCAGACACTCAACAGAGTACATACTGAACCTGTCCTATCACATCCAATTTTATAAACTTTCTAGAAGAGATAACACTAAACTTTGGCTATAGGAGAAAGACTCCTTTTAAGGGACAGATTGCCTGAGTGATCGGGTGAAGGCGTGAGAGGGCCTCTAGTAGTCATTCTTTTGAAGTCTGGCTACTGGTTATGGTGGCTTAAATTTATCAGTTATGTCAGTTGAGTAAATTTATATGAATGTCTAGATGTATTTATACTCAAGTTTTCTTAAAAAAAAGTTGACTAGCAAATGACCATCGGGCATATGGAAACATTTTCAACATTACTGGTAATCAGGGAAATGCAGATAAAAACTACAGTGAGATACCGTCTTACGCCAGCAAGAATGGCACATATTTAAAAAAACTAGCAACAACAAATTCTGGCAAGGATGTGGAGTAAAAGGAACTCTCCTACACTGCTGGTGGGAGTGCAAACTGGTCCTGCCACAATGGGAAGCTGTGTGTAGGTTCCTCAAATTGCTAAAAATAGACTTCCCAGAGGATCCAGCAGTTCCACTCCTGGGTATTTATCCAAAAGACACAAAAGCATTAAAAGCAGAAGAGCACCAGCGCTCTTGTGTTTATTGTAGTACTATTCACAATAGGTAAGCTATGGAAACAACCCGACTGCCAAAAACTAGACAACTACATCAAAAAGATGTGGTCTATATATGCAATGGAATACTATACAACAATCAAAAAGAAAACTCATGCCATTTGCACCGACATTGATAGAGCTGGAGGGATCATTCTCAGTAAACTTAACCAGAAAGAAAAAGAAAAATACTGGATTTAAAAAAAAACATATATGCAATTAATAATTTTTAAAAATTGACTAAATGTCTTCACTTACAGAAACTTTTTTCCCTTTGGCATCTTGCAGATGTTTCCCAAGTAGCTGCTTGTCCACCATCCAGATATGGGCCTCATCCACAAAGGACACATATTTTAATGTCTAGGAAAATAAAGTTGAAAAATGTACCAATTTTCATGCAGAATTATCAAGAATTAAATATCCAGACATACCTAAAAGTAACTGGTACTCTCATTTGCCAGGTAACAAATTGTTGTGCTAACCTTGCTTAATATTTAAGCTAATTCTTGCCGGCCAAGCAGAAGCCATGCTGAGACTAAAGGCCGATCAGCAACGGGCCAGGCACCTTTCTTGGTAGACTCAGACACTGCCGACTGCCTCCTATGTGTAGGCCCCCTGAGAAGCTATGTAAAATCCTTTGTTGTGTTCAGTTTCACTCAACCCCAGACTGAATATATCCAGAAGTTTGTACTCTTGCAACTTAAATTCCTTTTATCTTCATTGAATTTATTCCCATCTTAGGGCATGAAATGGTGGGTTTTGGCTGCCAAGATGGCTTTTGATTTAAATTGCAAACACGCACACAATGAGTTGTGCATTCAGTTGCTGGAAAAGGGCAGTGACGTCTTTGCAGGAGTGGAAGACAAGAAAACGCTCTTTGTGCTTGCAGGCATCAGAGGCTTCCTTTTGACTAGGGGGGATGAGGGATTCAAGTTTTGAGGAGCTTCTTAGTAAAGTTCAAATTAATTAAGTCAACGTCGTACAAAAGAGTTACAATTTCCTTTACTACCCCCATTCTAGGTTGTGTTCAGAGCAATCACTGTGGCCACTTTGTGTGTCCAGTACATTTCTGTATATGCACAGCCCCATGGTGTTTGTGACGCATGTAGAAAATGCGTAGCATACAGAAATACCCAAAACATGGAATGTATATCGGAGGTGTGTGTAAATATATATAATGTGTGGAAAAGACACAGAACTCGTTTATGTCTGTGTTTCTTTTTAACCTCTATATCATACCATCTATTATTTACGTTTTTCCTCTCAGCAAAGGATATTGGCTTGTGGTTATAAACATAGATTGTGAACCAGTCTAGTGGGAATTTCAGCTCTGCTGCTTACTGGCTGTCAGACTTTGCTCAACCCTCTGGGACCGCAGTTTCCTCACCAGAGGCCGAGAGAACAGCAGCATGTGTCTGCGGGGGCTACTTAAGGAATCACGTACATCTGGCCTGGGGGTCGCCGCGCAGACTCAAGCGCTCAGTACATGAAACACTTCAAAGGGGCATAAACGTTTGCTATTCCCCTCTCCCTCGAGTCTCTGCCGGTGCAGCCCCTCTATGGATTTGTCATGGTTTAGTTCGCTGCTCACATTGGGCATTGGGGGTGCTCTTTCTTCATGCCGCACCGCGAGGGTGCCTGGCACACCTGTGCCACCTGGCTGCACCCATGAGCATTTCTCTAAGGCAGGGGTGGACAGGTGGATAGTCCGGGCTGGAAAGGACATTGGATTAACTGGAGATTGCCAAATTGTCCTCCAGAGTCAGTAAACTGGTTTCTGTACCAATCTGTTAAAGCTGACAACAGTGAGAAATGGTGGAACAGAAACAGCTGCTATCTTTCTATTTTGCTTCTCCGTTTTGTTTCTACTTCTCTTTGAGACCAAAGGATTCACCTGAGTGGTGCTAGGTGAGGCAAAGGCCAGAGGCGTGTCCCCACCCACCTGCCCCTGGATGTGGGTCTCACTTGCACACATGGTCAGTGACATCAGGGCCTGGGGCTGGGATCTCCCGCCCCAGGAGCCTTACCGGCTTTGGCTCCACGATGGTCTCGCACTTCCTGTCATAGTAGTACTCGTTGACGTTGCAGGGCTTGCAGCACTTGCACAGGGGGTACACTTGTGTTCTGCACCACCCGTTTGAGTAAGTGTTGATGAGGAAATCAATGAAGAATGTGGCCTGGGAAAAACCCATATAATCACTGAGTCAGTGAAACTACTTCCTGCCGATCTTTTCTTTTTTTCTTGAGGTCACGTTGGTTTACGTGTTGCTTGTGTTTGAGATGCGCAGGCCCCTCAGGGGTTCTCACCACACGGCACCCACATCCTAGACACCCACAGGCAGCCGCGTCACTCACGCTCCACCCTCCCCGCTTTCCCCGCCCCCGCCCCCCCCAGCCTGGGTTCTGCAGCAGCCTAGTTCTGAGTTTGGCTTCTTCTGACGCCGGTGTCTTGATATTCCACATGCCAGGGACACACCTGGTAACCAAATAATTTTCACAATAGTGAGGGCCCAGAACCGCTTACCAAGCCAAAGTAGGAGAGGGTTGAGCCGATGTACACAACCAGCTGGATGATGTTAAATTTTCCTCCCTGGAAGCAGAAAGGGAAAGGTTACTGGGTGGACGTGTAGGAGCCAAACTCCTTCACCCTGACCTGAGCTGTTTGTTGTCCAGCACAGCAGGGCCCAAGCAGTATTTTAGCCACAGGCTCCTGAGCGTCAGCAGTGGGGCTCTGGCTCTCTCCGGCTGCGTAAATGATAGACCGGGGGCGCTCAGGCGCATGCCAAGAGAAGAAGCCGGGGGTCTTCTCTACGAAGTGGGGGTTTCAGAAGAGCCTTCTGCAGAGGGGTTGAGTAACCTGGAAGAAACGCCCTCACGAATGCTTCCCTCTGTCCCAGTGGCTTGGATTCTCGGGTGCGTTTTTCTGTCCTCCACTGCATCTCATTGGCATGTCTCCGAGACTGGTGTTGCATCACCGTGTTATGTACGTAACAAGCCATCAGGCAAGGTCTTGGGGGCGTCTGAAGTATCCCTGCCTTCCTTCTTCTGGAGACAGTCCTCCAATTTCCTTTGGAAAACTGTCTCTGCACATACGGATATGTAGTTGGGGGAAGCGGCTGATTGTGGGACTAGCCCAGGGTCGCCTGTGAGCGTGGCACGGCAGTCATTTGTCCAGCCATGTGGCCCCGAGTAAATGGACCCAAGTCCGTGTCTTCATGTGAGGCCTTTGTTGGGGCTTCTGGCTGAACTGCTAGCTAGTGGGGCATCGGGAGACGCCTGGCCGCGTCATGTAGAGATGCTTAGCTGAAGGTGGCCTCAAAATGGGAGAGCCTGTGTGCAGGTGGTGGGAGACCTGAGGTTGTTGCTGAAACAGCTGGACCTTGGCATGCTGGAGTCTGAAATTGTCCCTGGATTTTTCAGTTATATGGACTTAAAAACGAGCTTCCTTCCTAAGCCAAGTCAACATGGATTCTGTGACCTCCAAACTAGCTTGACGAGGAATGGCTTTTACTCTCTTTTCTTAAGCCATCGAAGAATTTTTTGTTTATTTTTATATATGTATCGTATTTTTACATCATTCTTCATTTTGCATGTGGTTTCATCTCGGCTGTAAGTCCCGTGACTTCCCACCACCACGCCCCGTGCAGGGACAGTCCTTCCCGTGCCAGTGTGGGTCCCGTTCCCCTCTCCTCCCCTGTAGACCATCTCTGCTTTACAGTTGTTCAGTGATGTTCATTTTTACTTGATTGCCATTGCTTTTTTTTTCCCATCAGAGAATTTTTAAAGTTACAGTTTAGCTTTCCAGCCTCCTGCCCACCTGCTCATGCATCATCAGATGACCTGCTCGGGGGCAGGAGCCTAGGATGTCTTCACCCCTCTCATCCCTATGCCCAAAGCATTCCCCTTGTGAGACACCATAGCACTAATCAGACACAGGAACAGCCACAGAGCTGCTGGGGGCTGGAGCAGATACTCACGGTGCCAAAAACCAAGATGTCAAAACGGATCCCGAAGACCTTCAGCAGAGTGCGTGTTTCATTATTGTCTGTCTTGTAGTACTTGGCGTATCTGGAGGAGAAAAAGAACCTGTTTATAGAACTTCCTCTAAAGCCGCTGGCCTTTGATGAAAAGACAAACCCCCGGCAGCGGCGAGCTCATCTTCCTCATCCAGGTGGTTGGGGCAGACCCACAAACCCGCCGTGGAGAGCAGGCGGCTCTGCCCCGGGAGCCAAGCGCCATGCCCTCGCCACCGCACCTCCCTCTCCAGTGGCGGGAAATCAGCTTTTGGGTGAAAGTGAGCAATTTTAAACCAATTCAGGTTTAACCACAAGAGAAACAACAACTTTCAAGCAAACTGATTATTCCTAGGAAAAAATTGGCTGGCTTCCTGAACAAATGTGAACCTAGGTACTCATGACTGGGCCGGGGACAGCTGCACCTCCGCAATCTGCTCTGACTTTTTCTCCTTAAGATTCTACACGTGTGTTGGCCCTCCCTGGTGGCGCAGCGGGTTAAAGTACAGCACTAAGAAGCTTAAGCCACTTCCGCATGAGTTCAATTCCCGCCTGCCCCGGAGGAGATCCACGTGGCGCGGCAGACCTCTCCTGACCCGCCCGCTGCTCCCCTCAGCAGTGTACTTCGTCGATCTGCCTGTTCTGCTCCCCGCTCTGTCTCTGGTGAATCCTCTCACCCTCCGCATCTCTGGCCTGTACTCCAGTTCTGTATGAATAAATAAATCTTTAAAAAAAAAAAAAAGATTCTACATGTGTCTGTGACACGGAGGGCCAAACCTAGCAAGTCACTTACATCTCCCCTATGATCCACGTGTGCAAGGATGGAAGGGCTGCGTGACACCATGCTCCCCAGCCCGCCTGCTGCTTGCTCTGATGCTCTCGCAGCTGCGGTGTCCCCTGCTCCAGATCACCTCGGGCTGGATTCCAGGCCACAGAGACAGCCCCTCGTGTCCAGAGCCCCCGACTACCCACCGGCCTGCCCCACAGGAAATAGGCAGTGTCTGGGCCTTGCTCCGTCGCTGCTCTTGACCAAACCTAGTGCTCCTGTGGGGTGCCATGGTGAGCCCCTCTGGGGAGTGTGCTGGGCACCGGCGGGTATCACTCAGTCACCTTTGTAATTCAGGGCCTGGGCACACATCACAGCCACCCCAACATGCAGCTGTCTCTAGACGCAGGCCGGGAAGTGCGTGTGTTGTTCTTCCTGAATCATTGCGAGACCAACGCCACCTGCCTCCCCAACTTTTAAATCTGCCTGCCCTCCTCCAGCTCTTGGTGGGAGTTTTTAGGTGAGGGGTTGCATTTTCTTTCTGAGTTATTAATTCATAGTCTAGTTACAGGTGTGGGGTGAGAGAAAAAAGGAAATGCGCTCTGCTGGGATGTAGTGGGGAGCAGCTGACACTTGTTTGTGACTCCCAGGAGATGCTGGGACCGGGAAGCTATTCTCTGTGCTTTACTGCCTGTGTCTGGTCAGAGGTTTTTGGTTCTTTGCATCCGATGCTCTCACCCCACAACTGTTTTCTCATCGGCTCTGTTGAGTCATTGGGGTTTATCACACTCAGCCACTGTGCACACTGCTCCCACCTGGGGGTGTCAGCTCTGCAGGCGAACCCTGGACAGTAAACACTTGGATTTCTGCTGTCAGGGCTTTGTTCAGGGCCTTGGTACATGGTTCTCGAACAGAGGGCCAGAATCATCCAGAACGTGCAAGTTCCTGGGCCTCATAGCCAGTAGGTCTGAGATGTTCCCAAAGTCTGTAGTTCTGCGAAGGCGCCGGGGGGCTCAGAGGCAGGTGGCCAGTGGGCCCCCTCTGGGAAATGCCAGGCCCAAACAAGGATGATTCCCACATATTGACTAAGTCCCTTTTACCCCTGCCAAGTTACTTCCAAGGGCCCCTGTGACTGTGAAAGTGACCTTGTCTGGGGTGGGGGTTCTTTGCAGATTAAGGATCTCCAGATGAGCGCCTCTGGATTTAGAGTGGCCTTCAACTCAATAACTGTCCTGATAAGAGCAAGGAAAGGGGAAACTGAGATACGGAGAAGGCCTAGCAGCCAGAGGCACAGGAAAGGAGCACACACAGACCTCTTGGAATCTGTGGTACAGCAGGCCGCGGTGGGTCTGCCCACATGTCCATGGGTCATTGACACCCTGCTTCACACTTTCACGGAGAAGGGACACTGGCCGGAGCTGGCAGGTGGCCAAATCATCAAGTGCCACTTGCTGTGTTTTAGCAAGTTGAATGTTTGGTCCCACCTCAAGCCTGTGATTCTCTTCTCTTCTGTGTGGCTGTTTGATAACTTTTCCAGCTACATGTCAGAGCGTAACAACTTATTTTTGGCCAAAGGTTTCTTCCGGGGCTCACTGCAGATAACAAACGCACTTTGTTCTAAAAGAATATCAACATCATAGCCAGCTCAGTCCCCGAAAACTCAGCTCTCTCCAGGAGCGCGTGCTCTTAGCTCAGAGATGCGGGGACACTGGCTAGGCCGGACTGGGGCCTGCCCACCTCTGCTGAGGCTAAAACTGCAGCCTGAAAGGCCCCCGGGGGCTTTGAGTCGCTCTAAGGCTGATGGCCAGGAGCCCATTCAGTGGAGCAGCGGGAATGATCAAAACGTTATTAACTGGGAGCTGGTTTCAGCTCTGGATAAAGCTCCTCTGACACAGGCGACAGAAAGCCTTTATGTTTTGATGTCAGCCGCCTGTCGTCCACTCTCAAACTCAGATGCCTGTGCAGGGCAGACAGAAGTGAGCGACTGCAACAGGCGTGGTGGTGACTGTGGCAAACCAAAACCCAAGCCACCAACAACACGTGCTCTTTCTAAAGGTACCTGAACTCAGGGCTTGCCCAGCGCTGCTGTGTGTGCGGTGAGCCCAGGGTTGGGGATTGCTTGATTTTTTTCAAATGGATTTACAAACAATTTTTTTTCATAAAAACAGGAAGTCAAGAATTTATGTAGAGAGTCTCACCTTTCGAAACATTATGCAATCCAAAAACAAGTAAAAATTAGAACCCAGTGGAAGGCTACTTGCTAATTTATGATGCTTTTGTAGTATTTAGTAGACCCATTTGCTGGAGTAGGCCTCTCTAGAAATCAGTAAGAGTGCTAGCTGTGTGTCTAAGTGCATGCCTTCTAAGGCACTCGTGTGTTGGCATTAGGTAGACACTTCCTATTATTTATTCCTCCAGGAAGGAAGCAACCCAGTTGTAGTGACAAAATGCCATCAGGTGACACATCTGAGGAATGTGGTGGGGCACTGGGTGATGTAGTATAGACCAGCGTGTCTTCAGGTGCAACGTGTGTCTGAGTTTCCGGGGGATCTCGTTAATATCCAGAATTTGATGCAGCCTAACATTCTGCATCACAACAAACTTCCAGAAGAGGCCTAGGCTGCTGGCTCCAGGCCCCGTGGAGTGTGAAGGGTCTAGGTCAGCAGTTCTCACAGGTGAACGTGCATCAGAATGACCTGGAGGACTGTGAAGACAGCTCCGGGTGTGGGATTCGGTAGGTAGAGCCTGAGAATTTGCATTTCCAGCAAGTTCCCACACTTTGAGAACCACTGGTCTGGCCTTTAATACTAAAGCTACTCAGAGATGTTTAGACTGTTGGCCAGTGGATTCTCCTGACATGGGCTGCTAGTGATCAGTTTCTCTTCCTCTTAATTAGGAAAGTATAAGCCTCAGGAAAGTGTGTGATACTGCCAGGGCCCCCACCCCAGCCTAGAGAGGCCATCTCTGGTGGCCTGCCCCACCCCCCATAGTATCCTGGTTGACTTCCTTCACAATTCCTATCTGGAATTGACTTGCTGGATTTATTATACAATGTGAGAGGGTGTAAGTCCTCAGAATACTGCTCAGCGAGATTTGATAAGTGAGTGCTCTATACGACCTTTACCCCATCAAGATCTAGAACATTCTGCGTTCCCAGAAAACTCTTGTGTGCCTTGCCAACTAGCTCCTCCTTGTCTCCCCGCCCCGCCCCAACCCAGCAGCCACACACATCTGCCTCGCTCTTCATACACAAGGCCGCTCGGCCTGCTTTTTGGGCCAGTGACGGTCAGTGTGCCCCCAGGGTCTCATCTCTATTGTTGCCTGTGCCAGTGTCCACTCTGGACCCTGGGTTGTGTTTGGTATGCAAAGGTGCTGCGTGCATTTCTCCCTTCACCTGTGGGGTCCTGGGGTCTGGGCTCTCGTGAATGTGCTGCTGGGACTTCCGGGCACAAATCTGCATGTGGACATGTGGCTCCTTTCTCCAGTCCTGCGGCCCGGGTCTGTTTAACTTGACTGAAACTTCCAGACAGTGTGGTTTCAGTCATTCTAGTGGCTGTGTGGTGATAGCCACTGACATTTAATCTGCATTTCTCTAATGACTAACGAGTTGTTTTTTAGTTTACTTAGAGGTTTGTTTTTATGCACAACACTTAGAATATACTAACATTTAGTATTAGAATGGAAGGTATTCTGTGTACTTTACAGAATGGTAACCTTTTCTGTTTCATTTACCAGTACTCCCTCTGGCGCCACAAATATTTTGTCCTCTGTGTGTTGTTGATGAATGAATTAGGAAGGCCAGGATGAATTTCTGCCAGTTTCATGGGCAAAGGCAGAGCCATTTTCCTTGGGACCTACCTGGCTTTCTGAAAAGGGAACAGCACCAGCCTACACAGTGCCTGGAACCAGTGCAAACATGACCTGTACCCACTCACCGAGACCTGCCTGGCCCCGACAGGCAGCCTCAGGTCTTGGGAGGGTCAAGTTCATGCTGGGACAGAACTGAGCAGGCTGAGCCAGTGATTCCGACGTGGGAGGTGCTGTGGAAGCTGAGTGAGGATGGCACCACCGGGCAAAGCCTAGAGCAGAGGAGGCTGTGCAGAGGCTGAAGCAAGGGCAGATCAGCGCCAAACCAGGACCCGGCAGCTTAAGAAGCAAATCAGGACTCGAAAGAATTGCTAGGGTTGAAGCCAGAAGCAAACACCAGGCACCATGAAGAACTGGAAAAGCAAGACAAGACTGCAGGTGAGGAAGCCACGAGGCTCAAGGGACCAAGGTCTCTAAGGGCTGTCGCCAAAAAGGACTTGCAGCCGAGATGGCAGCCTGAGCCAGTCCAGGAAGCTGCCCACTTCCACCGGTGCCCTCCCGTGTACAAAGGACGGACGGCACAACAAAGCAAACGTTTGATCAAGTATTACTGACCCCAAAGGGCGAAAAGCACCTCTGGGTGGTCAAGGTGATTGGTGAGTCAGGACTGAAGCCGCTGACCCCCTAGGAGCACCTGAGCCAGATGTGTCTGAGGAGCTAGATCGAGTTTGAACACAAACTCTAGAGTCTGACTGCGAAGCCAAAGTCATGAAGGAGCAGGATGACTTAGGCAGCGAAGCCCTCCTCCCCCCAGGAATTAGACTAGAACCTGGCTCCTACTGGGGTGGCATCATCCATCCCAGGCAGGCGGCAACATTAAGACATTGTCCCACAGAACTGTCTGTGTCCCCCGGCATACACAGTCCTTGTGCTGAAGCCCCCAGCAAGTATTCCGAAGTCACACCAGGAGCCACCCCCAAGGTACCCTGGATATTAAATCGGCATGGACACAGTAAAGTGGACCAGTGGAATAGCTGCCCTAGCTAAGAACAGAGAGCACCAAAGCTAGATATAGCACCTGGGTTTGCAAAAGATCAAATAATACATCTGAGAAATGAAAAACATACTTTTTTTTAAACCTGAAGTCATGTGGTAAAATGCTTCTCACCTTTGCTCCAGTAATTCTGCTCATTGAAGTTTACCCCAAGGGCCCATCTCTAATCAAACCAAGTTTATGTGCAGGGGCGCGCCGCGGAGTTGCGTGTGCTAGAACAGTGCACGCCCCAGTGTCCGACCACGGGGGATGAGCGAGGAAGTCACGACCGGGGGGTCAGTGTGGCCTTATTGCGGTGATGATACTTCTGCCAGTTATAGGGGTGTGGGCAAATCATTTCTCCTTTCTCAGCTCCACCCTCTGCAGTAAGACCCATCTACCAGAGCTATGAGGGCAGGGGCGGTGAGAAGAGTGCGGAGCTCCGCGTGTATCTCAGCCCCACTCACGCTGAACGTCAGGGTTGTTACCATCGGGCCTCAGAGCACCTGTAGTGACCCCAGGACGGGAAAGGCTCCGAGGACCTTTTATCACCTGCTTAGTGCTTCTTCCTGTTTCACAAGTTTGCTTTTGTCTTGCACCAAGTGTGCCTCTCTCCTAACAAAAAGGGGAAAAGTTCATGCCATTCGGTCACCACCTCGCTTGGCCGCCCGCTTGCTGCCCGGGGACAGCGGCCTAACCTTGGGCCTGAGCGTGGCTGTGACGGAGCGCCCTTACCTGAAGTTGTAGCCCGGGTACAAGGACTCGCTGCTCTTGTTGTCGAGGCGGCGGAAGCTGTATTGCGGCCGGCAGTGATGGAACCAGCTGTCCAGGTTGCAGTCCCAGGAGATCTCGATGCCCATGATTCCTCCCTGGAGGACAGAGACAGGCTGCGACCTGCGATGTAGCCACAAGGCCCCGTATGTCTGCTGCCCTCACACTCATCACCGTGGAAAGCGAAAGTTGTTTCAACAAAACCACGACCAGAACCAAGGGCTGTTCATGCCTCCCGCCCCCATAAAGTCAAACCCGTGATTGAGATTCCTACAGGTTCTGAGTTCTCACAAGGGCGCGCCTTGGCCGATGTCTCTCCTGCTGCCTCTCCCAGCCTCCCTAGGGAAGGTTCTTAAGCCAGAGTGTGCGTGTTCGCCAACGCGCTTGGGTGTGCTCTCGTCTGGCTCGCACAGCTCTGGGGAGACGCAGCGCGCATGCAGTGGGCCCACAGGTGCTCAGCGCGTGCCGGAAACGTGGCCGTCGCCATGGCCAGCGTCACGTCTTCGTCCCCTTCCTCCCGGTTGCCTCAGCCCTGGCGGCCACTAGTCCTCCGCTGGTCCCCTCTGAACTTCCACGGGAGTGAAGTCGCGCCTGCTCCTTTGACTCAGCACCGAGCCCCTCCCGCGGCAGCAGGGGCCACGCGGTTCCCTGGGTGCAGGGAGGCGCCAGTGTGGCGCTGGCTGCAGTCGCTCCTCCAGCACCCTTTGGGGTCTGCAGGAGCTCCATCCGGTCTCCTCACACATGGTCCTCTCCGGCGGTGCCCTTTCTGCTCAGGCGTAGAGGCTGGTTTCTGTTGCCTGCCCCAGGTCCCTTTTCATCTATAACTTACATCATTGAGCTGGATTCTAGGACTTTCAACTCGAAGACTCCTGACCAGCCCAAATGGGGTCATCTGAGTCGTGGCCCCCAAGATACTCCTGTTCCATGGACCTTTGACGGCAGGAGGTGAAAGTTTACGGCTCTTGTGATGGAGGGGTTAGCCTGGCTTGTGTGGCTGGGCCCTCACAGCTCTCCCTTTAAGCCTCTGGCAGGGGAGAAGTGACAGGCAGCTGCTGCTGTGCTGCTGGCCTCCGAGCTGGACGAGGGCCCGTGAGCCCAGCAGTGCCAGGAGGGCGCTCCGGAAGGTGGGCAGGCTGGCCCTAGAGCCTCGGGTGAAGCGCGGCCTTTTGGTGTCTGCATTTTGAACTGCTGTCCTCTAGTGAAATGTGTTGTTTGAAGCTACTGAGTCTGTGACCAGTTATGGCAGCGGCCACGGGAAGGGGGTCACCAAGCGTCTCGCTCCTGGGGCAGCTGCGCCCTGCCCAGGAAGATGGAGGCCTTGACCCCCACGTGGCTACCTCAAGCTCCTTCGCTGCAGTTCAGACGCCAAGGCCCAGTGGCCCCGCCTCCTGGCCACTCACCATTCTCTATCCCTTGACCCCCCTACCTGCCCCGCTGCCACTCACCCCAGCCACCACACCCCAAAGGCGTCACCAACCTGAATGGCCACCTCCGAAAAGTTGTCGCCTGTTTCCTGGAAGATGTCTCCCAGTCGGAAAACGGGACACAGTGGGTTCTTGGTCTTGTGAAAAGTGCACGTGGTGTTTAGCCCTGGGAAGATGTTTCTCCTGCGCACAGTGGGAGCAAGCAGGCAGCCCTCTTCAAAAGCAGGCCCGCCTCTTTCACAGGAGTGGCCAGGGTGGTAGGGGGCTCCATGGGCCTCCACGACCCACCCCGGGGCTCACGCCCTCATGTGGCCCCTGCAGAGCGGGGCTGGTCTGTATGAGCGTGGCACTCAACAGGGGTGATGGTGTGTCGTGTCCAAGATGGGGTCGACAGGCCGTGATCCTGCCTTTGCTTACTGGCCCGCCTGCCCTCCGTCTCTCTGGGGCGCTCACCCTGCGGAGCAGCCATCATGTTCCCCGGCCCCGAGCCGCCCCAGGACAGGGGCCTGCGTGAGAGGAGCTGAGCCCCTCCACACACACACACCTCGGGAGCCTCGGAGGGAGACCCGGTCCGTGCGTGCGGGCCCTGCTGGTCTGAAGCTGCCACCAGCGCCAGAACCGGCTGCTGACCGCAGGCACTGGGTGAGGGGCTCCACTGTTGTCTTAAGCCTCTGAGTGTTGGGGTGATTTGCCCCCCAGAAGTTGGTAAATGGATGTGGCCAGATAAGGCGGGCACTCACGTGGTATAGTTGTGGCCAGGAAAGTGGATGTTGTTTTTGATGAACACAGTGAAGTTTTCAGCTCTGCTCAAGAGTGCGGGCCTGAGAGAGAACACAGGGTGGGGACGGTGACTGGGGCGCAGGGACCCCGTGAGCAGCGAGCTGATGGGCCCAGATGCTCTGGTTTCACACACGGGTCATTGCTACGTGAAGAGAGATGTCCTCTGGCAGGGCAAACCTTCCCACATCCTCTAGCTTGTGCAGAAGGAACTTCTCCTGACTTCTCCCTTCTCGAGACCTGCCACACTTCCTGTCACACCCTCACACCGGTAAGTTGGGCGGTGCGTGCTGGTGAGTGCATGACAGCCAGAACGCTGCGCTCTAAGTGCGCCCACCATGGCGATTCCAGGCACCCTGGGCCTGGTTGGGCCAGATGGGCATTGTGGACTCAGGTGGTATACACCAGCTCCAGCACTCCCGGCTGCATCTGTGCCAACAGGCTGGCATCTGGCAGGCCTGGGACGGTCGTTTCTTATCTCGTACCCAGCTGCACGGTGAAGGAAGGCCCCACCCTCTGTGTGTCTCCCCGTCTCCCCGTCACTCTCTCCATCACTCAACGCTGATGTACTGTGTGCTGGGTGTGAGGCTGGGCATGGGGGATATAGCGACGGACAAGGCGAGGGTTTGTGCTGATACTGTGGACAGCCGGTTAAAGATGGAGAACAGGTCCATGTGGTACAGCTGGCCCCGGCGCCTGGCACGCCGGAGGGGGTGGCAGACGCATATTGGGAAAGGCACCAGGAAAGGGGTTGCCCTTGCAAGAGGCACTGAGAATGACTCGCTTTCATCCCGCATCTCCAGAGCCCACCTTGGCTTTACTTGGCCTGGAAGTATAGGGAACTGCAGGTTCTGCCGGAGAAGCTCCTGGTCCCCTCTGGCCATGCATGTCTCCCCTTGAGGGAGTCGGGTCTCATTAGCTCATCTGGGGGTTTGGTGGGGACGAGTCCGTCTCCTACCCATTGCTCTAGCTCTCAGGGTAGACTAGCTGACCAGTCTTGTCCATCCTCCTTGGTCCCAGGGATTGGACCATAGAGTAGCATGTGATTTAGACCACTGAGGACATGCCAGGACTTTCCTAGGAACTGCTAAGAAAACAATCCTCATTTTCTCTAGTTAGGACAGTGTAAACCTAGCATTCCCTGGGCCAAGGTGTATGGAAGAAAGAATTGCTGGAGCTGGTGCTGCGATAGGGCTGCTTTATATCTAGGTCTCTTGTGTTTTACCTAAGCTCTAGTACAGTCTCGTGTGTGGCTTCCTGTGAAGAAGCAGCTAACACCTGCTCCTCGGTCATGGATGTGTTGGATGGACAGGTACGGGTGCCATCTTAGTCATCCCTTCAAACCACAGGCTGGTGCTGAAGGGCAGGAGTTGCTTGCCCAGGGTCACAGAGAATGGAGCCCAGGGCCAGCTCTGAAGATGGTGTGTACTGGACACATGAATTAGCGGAAGCGGGGCCGAGAAGCCCAGGTGATCAAGCTCCCTTCCCTTGAGCCAGGGACCTCTTGAGTGTAGGCTGCTGTGCCACCCAGGCCCTGGATGGTTTCTTCTGTGACAAAGGTACTTCCCAGACCTGGACGTGAGCTGGCAACCTGGGTCTCTCCAGACCAGCTAGCACTGCCTCGTACTTCCATCTTGAGTCCGGGACCTTCCAAAACATCATCGGCTGCTCTTTGCCAGGTTGATGGTGTAGTCTTGGGTCACAGGCACCCAGAACTGCATCCCCAGGCATGGCAGGTATCAAGATTAAGTTCAAATTAAATTAAAAATTTGCGTTCCACTGCAGTAGCCTCTTCAGAGTGCTTGATGGCCACGTGTAGCCAGTGGCTCCCACATTGCTCACAGCAGGTGTGGACAGTCTCCATCAGTACGGAGAGTTCTGGACAGCGCCAGCCTGGGACTGCACACTGCTCGGGACAGCCTGCGTGTGCGTGACAAGATCCTGCCAGGTTAATCTGAAAGATCTAATTTGCTTTACTAAATAATCTGAATTGGTCGGCTGCCCATCTAGCAGGCAGAGAGGTATTTTGGAGAGCGCTGCAAATTGGAAGATTTTCATAGGCCACAGGTGGACAGAGTAAGGGAAACGGGAATTACTCAGGCTGAGATAGCCTGTGTACAGGGTACAGATAACGGGCCTGAGGTAGGCTCTCACCTTTCCTTGGGGAATGGAACTAGGACCTTGTTAAATCCACTGAGGAGCCTCTGTGAGGGCGCAGGGGTTAGCCAGCACCGTGAAGCCGTCCCAGCCCCTGCAGCACGAGTCCATCCCAGGCCAGGGAGTGACCATGGGGCGCAGCAGACCCCGCCTGTCTCCCCACTGCCCCACCTCAGCAGTGTTCTTCAGTCAGTCCACCAGTTCTGCTCCCCACTCTGTCTCTGGGGAAGCCTCTCATCTCCTGCACCTCTGGCCTGCACCCCAACTCTAGTCTGCATAAATAAATAAATCAAAAAATATTCCACACTGACCAGTTACTGCCGCTCGGGAGGGCCAGAGGCCAAAACTGAAGTCAGGTTAGGCCATGAAGTCTTGAGGGAGCCTAGCACAGACACCTCCATCTGGGGGACATTTTTTGCTTTCTACTGTGTTGTCAGGCGCCTACTTTGTGTCAGGCGTGAAGCTTGCCCTGCAGTCACGCTACAAGTAACATCTCACTTAATTCTCACAACAGCCCAGTGAGGTAGGTGCTGTTATTATCCTTATTTTTTTAAAAAGATTTATTTATTTATGCACACAAGAGCTGGGGTGCAGGTCAGAGGTGTGGGGGGTGAGAGGACTCCCAGGAGACAGTAGGGAACAGAAGAGGCAGAGCCACTGAAACACTGCTGAGGGGGCAGCGGGAGACAGGAGGGGTCTGCTGTGCTTTGAGGGTCCCTCTCTGGCCGGGGATCGAACTCGTGCTGCAGGGGCTGTGGGCAGCTTCATAGGGCCGAGGCTGACCCTTGTGCCACCAGGAAGGCCCCGTCCTTATTTTAAATGTGAGGAAACAGAAGCTCAGATAGGTTAAGCCATGTGTTCAGGGTCACACAGCAAGGAAATACCACAGCCAGGGTTTGAACCCAGGTTTCTGTGTTTTCTGCTGAAATGCTAAAATGAACTGGTCCTTGTAGTTTGAGATTTAACATCAGGGTCTGCCTTCTGGGCCTGGCCTTGTGTGTTAAAGAGAATAAGCAATCTGGGGACAAATCTGTATGTCACTGTGAAATTCCTCCTTCCTTTCCAGTGCTGCCCCTTCCTTTTCCTTCTCTCCCCACTGCCCATCCTGAGTAGTTGTGTGGGCACTGCCAGGCAGAATGGGCCCTTCTGCAGCGCTGGAGGGGGTCTGGAGGTGCTCTGGAAAGCGCGGACACAGGAGGGGGCGGGGACACCCTGGCGCTCAGGGCTCAGGGTAGTGGCTGTTTATCAGCTGTGGAGAATTGTTTCCCTCTCTCACAACCGGTCTAGCCCTGCTGAGCTGTCCTCACCAGCTACAGGTCAGACCTGGACTTGGGGGCCTGCTGGAAGAAGGGGAGAGGCAGCAAGCATTGCCTGGGGAAGTCGCCTCTGCCCGCTGCCCGGTGTCCTGTCCCCGCCCTGCAACTCACCGAGGGGCGGCTTCCTGGGCCTCGATGGGACACCAGGCCTTGATCTCACAGGTCTTCAGGGAATGATTATACTTCACGCATTTCCCCGTCTGGATGCCTGTGGAGGTGGAGGGCTTGCAGAAGCAGGGGTGGAGGCTGAGCGGGACCCTCTCTTGGAGGCGCCCCTTTCCCCCAAGCCAGAGCTCGACCCCAGCCACATCAGCTCCGTGAACCCATGCGAACCACAGCTTTACAGAAGGCAGACCAGCCGGGAGTGCACGGAAGGGGAGGCATTTTTGAAAAAGGTCAGACACTGAAATCAGAAAGGTCCTGGAGGCTGTGGGCCCCGCAGGTTTCTCTGCAAGAAAAGACTCCTGAGAGGAAGCCTGGGATGGCTCCTCGCACCTGGCCCGAGTGGACTAGGCCTTGGCGTCCAGACGCCCGCGTCCCTCGGAACCCAGCAGCGCGGGGATGCGCGTGCTCGGGAGAGCATGTGCGCCTGCGCGCCTTGGGGCACCAGGGCCACGTGGACTTCCAGGGGGGTGTGCACTGCCCTCGCGGTGACCTGGACAGAGCCCCAGACAGCACGCAGCGCTCACATGCTCGAGGGTCTGTCCCTTAGAACCACTGCCCGGCTTTCTCTATCATCCCTCTGTAAGTTAAGACAGGAGGTGCAGGAATGCTGCTGGCTCAGCAGGAACAGCCCCGGTTGCCCTGGGGCGCCAAGCCCAGCCCCCACCTGCGAGTCAAGCGTTGAGACTGCCAGGGTGGTGCCCCAGGACGTTTTCGGGAGCCTATCTCATGTTTGCAACAGCAGCTGGTCTTTTGTAGAGAGCCCAGGTGGCTGCAGGCCAGGGCCCGCAAGGTGGGAGGAAGGCAGCCGAGCCAGGGGCTGAAGAGCTGAGCGCGGCTTGTGGCTGCCGCCAAGACCCCAGCCCAGACACCCGGGCGTCAGGAAAAGCCGCTAACGTACCTTTGCTCTGCGGGCTCATCCACCCCTTTGCACAATTCTCGTCAGAGGAACAGATGGTCGCCCTGGTGGGGTACTGCAGGGAGAAGGACAGGCTAGTGGGGAGTAAGCCCGGCACAGAGAAGTGCGCCCCACGCCCACACACAGGCTTGCACGCAGGTGTGCTTGGCAGTGTGGTTCCCAGTAGCTGAAAGGCGGAACCCGCCAGGATGTCCACTGAAGGGCGCATGGAGGATGGGGTGCAGGATAGTCATGTGGTGGGACCTTCCCAGCCACAAAAGCAGCGGGGTTCTGGTGCCTTTCCTGAGTGGATAAAGCTTGAAGGCACCGTGCTGACCGGAAGAAATCAGACGCACAAGGTTGCGCGTCGTGTGGACTGTGAAATGTCCAGAATAGGCCGTTGCACAGAGACCAAGTAGGCCAGTGGCGGTGGCGGTGGGAGGGGCTGCTAGTGAGTCCTAGGTTTCTTTTGGGGTGACAAAGACATTCTGATAGGTAATGATGACGGTTGCACAGCTCTGTGAATACACTAGAGTCTAACGAACTGCACATTTGATAATGATGAGTTGTAGGTACATGAATTCGAACTTGATACAAAAGAAAAATCAATTAAAATATAAAAGATGTCAAGGCAGCCAGGGGCCACTTCCAGGGAGGCAGGGGGAGTAGAGCAGGTGGCCTGGTTCATGCAGCCAGGGGCTGCCCAGCCAGCAGGAGACAGCCCCAGGCTCAGCAGGGCGGGAAGTTGAGGGTGCCTGCCAGCACCCCCTGGGGTGAGGAGTTCGCAGGTGGAAGAAGGCAGATGAGGCCGTTAGTGCGTTCAACTTCCAGTTTCCCAGGCAGCAGCGCTGGCCAGTCAGGAGTTAGGAGTGAACATAGCGGTCCTGTGCAGTGGTGACTTGTTGCAAGAGGTGGGCGGCCGGGCCTGCCCTGGGCTTTGGAAGGGGCACTGTTGTCTCCAAGCCGCTCGGCAGGCTCTGCACCTCGGGGCCTCTGCCGTCTCCCTGTGGGAGAAGCCCTATCTCCGTGGTGGCTGAAGGGCACATGTCGGGGAAAGACAGGGCTCCGCCTTGGGCCCGCAGTCCTCTCGTGCCCCTAGTCCTCTGCTCCCCGCGGCCTTCGTTCCGCCACTCAGCATGATGTGACGTGGCCGCTGCTTCGTAGCCCAAGTGCTGGACACACATGGGTCTTGACAAGTGGGCTGGCAGGTGCTCATTGCCTGTGCTCCTGGAAAGCTTTGCTGTGTGGTTTTCAGCTGGAAGGAAATCTCAGGGACGAAGTTGGACCACATCAAACTTGCCCTCCAGAAGAAACCCTGACCTGTTGCAGAGCTCAGTATCCATCCTCTCTTGGTGGCAAAGTGGGCCAAGCTGGCCACCGGTGCCTGGGCTCTTGCCCTCACGGGGCGGAGTGTTTCTCCACCGTGGCGCTGCGGGGAAGCCCGCAGAAGAGCATTGGGTACTGCTGCCCGGCTCGAGGCCTGGGCCTGGGATCTGGAAGCTTCTTTTGGCTTGGGGAAACCTGAGTGGCTGCTAGGAAACTTGAAGGGAAATTTGATGGGACGATGTGGAGAGACTTGGCCAGCTCTGAGACCCTTGGGACTCCAGTCCTGTCACCGGTACGGGCTCATGAGCCAGGCCTGCAGGGGATGGCCGCAGGTTGTTTTCCAGGAGGAGAGAGGCAAGGTCAGGAGGGCGCAGAGAGCAAAATGCAGCTGGGGAGCCCTACCCGGCAGAGACTGAGGTCAGGTGGGGCCAAGAAGTGGGGTGAAAGAGGGCTGAGCTGCCGAACAGAGCTTCCCGGGGCCCTGCCGTGCGGCAGCCTGGCACAGCCAGGAGTGCGGACCCCGGTTCTGGCTTGCCCTGCTCTGCCTCCAGCAGGATGTGGGGCCGTCACTCAGCCTCCCTGGTCTGCGGACCTGCAGGATGGGGCAGGGAACGCGAAGCCCCCTGACCGGCATTGTGTGGCCCGGGGTGATTGCCCGCTCGTGTGTGTGTGTGTGTGTGTGTGTGTGTGTGTGTGTGGTCGCTGCCAGTGAGCCGTGCTGGGTGCGGGGCGGGGAGCGGCACCGCCTGCAAGATTCCTCCGTGGCAGCTGAGGCCCGGCCTCAGAGAGCCCAGCCAGGTCTTCTGCCCCATCCAGCCCAGATGTACAGCCCACAGTTACCTGTGGCTCAAGTAGCTCTGGGTGTGGGTGTCACATCCTGCCCTGGGCCTCCTCCAGGCCCTAACGCCCATCCGGCACCCCTGGGCCTCCTCACCTCAGCGCACACCTTCTGCTTTTGGTCTTCAGTCTTGAGAAAGTTTGTCATCACGAAGAAGGAGTTCCCCTGTGGAGAGAGGAGGAGAGGGCAGCAGCAACGCCTGGGAGAACAGACTGGGCTTGCTTGGTGCCTGCGAAGCCTCCGCCTGGAGATCTGGGGCCAGGGAGCCGCTGGGCTGAGCAGAGGCTTAACATCAAAGCTGGGGGCGCTGATTGAGGCTCTCTCCCCATGTCAGCCTCAAAGCATGTACTGGACACAGCAAAGCCCCGTTAGGTTGAGACTCTGGAGGCGGAGGTGGGTGTCAGCTTATCACAAAGCCCTTCAGATTAACCAGGGCTTTAGCCACGGGCAGCTCAGCTCTGGGAAGGAGCTGCGGTTTTGGCGACCGGCGGTCAGAAGCAGACAGCAGCTTGGGGTCTCTGTTCTGCAGAGCTGCCTGCTCCTGCGCTCAGGTGCGCCTCTGTCCTGCTGCCTCCCAGCCGCTCGGCGGCCCCTCTGTGCTCCGAGCCAGCCGCTCGGGTTTCTCCTTTTCTCTGCTTGCAAATCTGGATCATGTCGTGCCCTTTCTGTGTGACCCAGGCCCTCCTTTCTTGTTACCTATGCCTTCCTTTGTGCAAAAAGCACCCCTGAGAATGTCTTTCTGGAGACATTTCCGTTGACATCAGCGACAGACGCCAGGCCGTCCCGCTGCGACGCGTCTGCCGGCTGACCTGGCGGCCCCACGTCTGCGCACCTCTCCCATCGGGTGTGAGCAAACCAAACCCGTTTAAGCGGCACTAGGACACGCTGCTATTTTGAGAAACCCTGTGGGACTCGATAAAGCAAAGAATCATCTCCTTTGAGTGGCTGGATCTGACCCAATTTGGCAATTTTTAGGTTTTCTCTGTTGGGATTTTCAAAGCACTTTTTAAATAGCGCTGGTGTTTTTCCGGAGTGCAGGTCGGGCCGGGGAGGAGGATGCCGCGGGCTCACCTGCATGGGGAAGGTGTAGTCCACGGTGTCGAAGATCCGGCTGTCCGCTTGTTCCTTCACCTCTGCCAGCCCTTTCACCTTGGTGTGCACGGAGCTGATGACTGGCTCCTTCTCTTGGTACCGCTTGTCCTTCACCAGTGCAAAGCTAAGGCGGGTGCGGGACAGTCAGTGGCGTGTCCGGGAGGGCAGCGCCCCCTTCCTCCCACAGCCCCTGCAGCCCGTGCGCTCCTCTGTGACTCCTTCACTTTCTGTGGGGCAGGAAGGGCCGTGATTCCGTTTTGGGGTGGTTGTGCTCCTGCCCCCGGCCCTCAGGGCAGCCTTTGAGGCCTCCGGAGCAGGCCCAGGTGCAAGGCCGGCCCCAGGCTGACCTGGCAGCTCTGCCCCAGGGCTGAGGGCACCCCAGTTCCTTTCGGAGGAGGTGGCCCCACCGGTCAGCCCCCTTTGCTCCAGAAGCGCACCCTGCTCTGTGACTTGAATTACTGGCCGCCCTCTGGGACACTCTGGGGTCAGGTGCTGTGCCCCTTCCGTCCTCACAGCACCCACGGGGGATGGTTGCTGGTGGTCGCCCTTGGTGGAGGAGGGATGGCCTGGAGGGGCAAAGGGACATGTCCCAGATGCATGGAAAGGTGGCAGGACGGAGGTCCCCAGGGCCTGCCATCGCGCCCAGGGCCAGGCCAGCGGCTCTGCTCTGGTTTCCCGCCCTTTGGCCGTGGCTGAGCACGAGCGTCTTCTTTAGAATGTGAACCAGGGTGGCTGCCCCGGGAAGCTGGCCGCAGGGAAGCAGGCCAGAGTCTGGCGCGCCCTGGCCACTGTCTACCTTGGCCGTGCCACCACACCCCACAGAGCCTTCAGAAGCACAGCACTCCCCACCCCGGTCCCAGAGGCAGATCTGGGCCGTCATCCAGGGACTTGCATATGTTTTTTAAATTCCTGAGGTGATTTTTTAAAAAAGATTTATTTTACTTATTTATGCACACATAAAGAACTGGGGTGCAGGCCCCGAGGTACAGGGGGTGAGAGGTTTCATCAGAGGCAGAGTGGGGAGCAAAATAGGCAGATGGACTGCAACACACTGCTGAGGGGAGCAGCGGGGAGACAGGAGGGTCTGCTGGGCCCTGTGGGCCACTCCCTGGCTGGGGATCGAACTGGTGCTGCAATGACTGTGGGCAACTTCATAGCGCTAGGACTTAACACTTTGCACACCCCAAGGTGATTCTAACGCCCATCTAGGGTCAAACCCCTGGAGACTCATGAAAAGAGGGCTCATCGATGGCAGTGTGTTCTGCATGACCCAGCAATTCCATTCTTGGGGTTTACTCCAGGGAAACCTGCGTACGTGTGCCCGTGGGGCTGTGTGCATGGCTGTTCGAAGTAGCATTGCTCGGGGAAGGGAGCTAGAAGCAACCTAGTGCGCTTGAAGGCTGACGGACGCTCCGCAGAAGTGAAGACGAATGGCCGAGAGCAGCCCTGTTGGCGCGGAGCGCCATGCTGTTGAGCAAGCTCTAGTGCGACGCAAAGCTAACGAAATCCAGACTAGGACTCAGGCAAGGACCTGCAGGTAGAGGCACCTTTTGCAGATCTGAAAGGTGGAAACCGCCCAAAAGTCCCTCGCCAGATGAAGGCATCGACGAAGTGTGCACTGGCTGTTCGGTGGGATATAATTCAGCCATGCAGCAGCAGCAGTGCGTAGTGGGATGCGCGGCAGTGCGCGCGAGCATCAGAAAAAGAGTGAAGCAGATGGTCGCGCAAGGGCACAGTTCGCAGGGCCCCATTCCTACGATGTGTCGGGAACGTACCTCCACAGAGACAGAACAGGCTGGTGGTGGCCTGAACAACATCTTGGTCGATGAAAGGCCACGTACACCACGGGGCCCCACAGGCCCGGCCGTGTGGCTGGGTGCTGCAGGCTGCACCGCCACTGTGGGGTTCGTGCGGTCCCGCGGCATGAGGCGTCCTCCCGGGGTCCGCCAGTGCCGAAGCCGCCCGGCAACACTCTGCTCAGGGCTCATCCCGTGGCCGAGTGGCGCCTGTCTGCAGTTACTGCTGTCATATGAGCTTCCCCTCCATAAAAACGGCGGAAATGAGATGCTTTTCCAGACATATGGTGCAGACAATGTCAAAACAAACCCAAAAGGACAGACACCAAATTTAGGATGATGTTTGAGGCAGGAGAGGGGGGGAGCGGCAGTGTGTGCGGGGGCCCCACGCTGGATGAAGACGTCTTAGTCCCAGGCAGGCTGGTGGTACGTGGGTGCCTATTACATCATTCGCAGTATATTTTAGGTTCTCTCACATTCATTAAAAAAGAAAATTCTTCAAGAAAGACACTGGGGCTAGAGAGCCAGACTTGGGGTTCAGTCAGTGCACAGGTGGCAGAGCTACTAAACACCACCCCATGTACAGAGAGGAAGGTCGGGGCGCGACTGCCCCAGCCTGGCACCCCTCGTGCACAGCCTTCAGCCTGCTTCGTGGCTACTGCAGGATTCTCTAGAGCTGCGTGGCCTCCCCTCGGGGGGCTCAGCCCCGACCTCTCACATTCATTTTACATAGTGCCGGGTCGCCCTTCAGGGAACCCAGCCCCGCACAGCTCGCCTTTCCCTCAGGACGAGCGTGCCTGAGGTGGGCATTGCATCAGGCACGGGGCAGCTGAGTGCCTGCTGGCGGACAACTGGGCGAGGACACTGGTGCATTTCCTCGGTGGACTACACCTCAGCTGCCTGAAAGAAGGGTGGTACCTCGGGCTGAGGTGAAGTGAGAGTGAAAGTGAAAGACGCCAGGATGCTCCCGCACATGTGGGTGGGGTAGAAACATCAAAATAACTGCAGATCACAGGGGTGACTATGAGGCTGGTCCTGAGGGGGAGGGATGGGTAATGGGGCAGGGCGGGGGGGCACTATAGCTCCTTGTGGGGAGAAGCTGGACTCCCCAAGTTGTAGTTATGTAAATGAGAAACCAATACAGTTTGCAACAAAGGGAAAAGCAAGGCAAAGTTCTCAGCAGGACCGGCTCTCGGAGAGGAGGCCCTGACTGGGCCCAGTGGCTCCCAGAGGGCCGGGCCGTTCGACAGGCCTTCGAGTTACTCAGTCCCTAACTGTGGGCTGACCCCCGGCCCCTGTTCCCTGTGACCTCTGGCTGCTCACAATGCACTCCATGCTGAAGAGAGCCAGAGCGCTCATCCTGGGGGGCGCGGGGGGTGCCGGGGGGCTTGGGCACCCAGAGGCTGGGCGTCTGGCCAGCTTTGCAGGATGGGCAGGTGGGGATGGGGCCAGGAGACCGAGGAGCTTCTGGACGGGGAGGAAGCCAGTGTGAGGAGGCTGCAGGCCATGTGGCTGCAGAGGGGTTGGAGGTCAGGGCTGGTGCGGGGTCTGGGCAGGAGACGAGAGGAAGGACGGAGTCGGGACCCTCGGCTGGGCTTGCCAGACTCACCAGATGTAGAGGGAGACGCCCACCATGAGGACGTTCTTCAAGACCCCGAGCCTCGTGTTCTGAATCTCCACCACTTTCACTGTCTGGTAGGGGCCGCAGGGCGGCATGTCGGGCCAGGGAGCAGCACCTTTCTGCAGCGCCTGGCCGCCTCCCTGCCTGGGTGCTGCACTCGGGACTCTGCTGTGAAAGGGTGTGGCCAGACATCTGGCTGGGCGCAAGCGCAGCGCAGTGGGGCGCACCCCAGCCACCTGCCCCCGCGCCGCCGGCAGTCCCGCTCTGGTCCGGGACCGCTGGCTGTGGGGGGAGGCCAGCCAGGGTCGAGGAAGCAAGACCTGGCCAGGGAAGGAAGTAGCGAGAAGGGTAGCAGGTACACCTTGCACCCAAATAGTTACATTTTTACATTTCTTGTGGCTTCTGTAACCACTTGACAGGACTTCAGTGCTTTGAAAATAGCACAAATTTATTCTTACAGTTCTGGGGCTCAGATGACTAACCCCTCATGGGGTCAAGCGAGGCGTGGCAGGCCTGATTCCCTTGGGAGGCGCCACCACGGAGCTGGAGTGGCAGACGTGGCCTTGCCTGAGGTGCACAACCTCTTCTCCAACTCTGGTGGTAGCCACTCAGATAAAGCGGGATAATCTTATCTCAGAACCTATTAAACTCCTTCTGCCAAGTCGCAAGTTCTGGGGGTTGGGGCACGGCACGGAGATCAGCCTCTTCAGAGCTGCCCACTGCAACTGCCGCCGTCCCTGAGCGAGCTGACGGGGTGGGGGAGCCACAGCTTGGCGACGTCCATCTGCGCTGACGTCCCAGGCCCTCGGCGGCTCCGCCACCCAGCACCCCGGAGGCCTTCCTTGGCACGCTTCCAATTCACCTGCCCACTCTGCTGCAGAGGACTGTGCCCTGTACCCCTGCCACACGTGGGGAGCCCAGGGGAAGAGCACAGGCGCATGCGGTCCCACCTGGGGCTCGGCAGGCCGCCGGGCAGATAGCCTCGGCCCTGGCGGCACAGTGGGGGCCCTTGTTGAGGCTGTATGAGGCACTTTTAAAAGTAAGCCATCGCCTCGTCTGTGTGGGTACATTTGCTTATTTCATTTGGGGGGTTTGTGCTCTTTCCGGTGTAGGTTCCCACACCCCACTTGGGCCCAGAGCCAGTCTCCTCCACCCTCCATGGGGCTCCCTCCCACTCCACTGTCACCCCACCAGCGGCCCCAATCAAAGGCACAAGGGGACAGGCACGGCGTGTCCACGTCGGAACTCGTCTCTGCAGAAGGACCTTTGCCGTTGTCAGAGGGTCACTTCCAATGGAGATGTGGGGAGCGTCAGCTCTGTCCCTGCAGGGCTCTCACGCTGACGCTTGGCCAGCACCTGCCAGTAAGGAGCGCAAGGCCAACCTGCGGGCGCGGCCGCTTCACGCTCTGCCTGGTGACCTCTCCTTCCCTCAGCCTCGGCTGGGGCTTCTCTCCTTGAGCAGCCGCTGATTGCAACAAAGCTACACCCTGCCATATCCCAGGTGCTGTAAAGACACACGCCAGCCTGTCATCGGGCAGAGTGCGGTGCCACACGGGGACCCTGGCATGAGTGGGCCACGCCAGCGCATGGCTCCGCCCAGGAGGTGAGTCGTGTGCTGCTAGCCAGCCCCTGCTGGGCGGATTTTTAAGAAAAGATTTATTTATGCACACAAGAACCGGGTGCCGGCCGGGGCGATGAGAGGACGCC